TTCCATGGCAACAAGATGGACTTGGGTTCTGTGAGGGTAGGGTTCGTTTCCAGAACTCATAAACCGTTCAATATTTTTTCATGAAACTTTGCATGTATGTCAGGTACATGCTGAACTGGTACCTTTTACTATTTACATTTTTTTTAAATTCATATTTTTTTATTTTTCCATGGCAACAAGTCAAACTTTTAGAAATTTATGAATTCTTCTTTTAAATGCCCAAAACTCAATCAGTATAGGATTGTTATCACTGGGGACTTCAATATGGACCAGTCTGTCCATGACAACAATGCACTATCCAAACTCATGGAGCAGTTTACATTTGCCCAGTATATCAGCAAACCAACCCACACCCTTGGGGGTACACTAGCCTTGATCTTCTGTAATGAGCCCATCTCAACAGGAGTCTCTCCAGTTCCATACACTGACCATCATCTTGTGTGGGGTGTGACGGAATAGGTGTAGTATATTGAAGTGACTATCATTATTTCTTTGTATGTTAATCAATGTGGTAATGAAGTGAACTTTTTGAATCTTAATATTTTGCATTTAATCTACTATGTCCAAAGCAACATCTTGGGTTTGAACTGGTAATGACCAATATCACATATCACAAACTAATACCATTGATGTTTCTTAAAAAATATTCCATGTAGATATTATTACGAGTCAAAATGTGACTTGTAATGTTTTTTTCTTTCTCCCACCCTTATGAATTCAGTAGTAAATGTAGTAACTGGTTTTGTCAGTTTGTACTTCCATCATGTTTTTGTGGAGAAGGTTTCATTTTTTTCTTGAACTTCATAGAAAATTGTGTTTTGTGGCATTATATTTTGTTTCTCCAGGATATTTTGCATTTACATGAAGTAGATGCTCCCCTGCTGCCTTTTACTCCTTACAAAATTTTGAATACATGTATTTTATGTTTGTGTTTGTGTGATCAAATTTCACTATTGTTGACATAATATACACTTCATTTGCTGGGCAGGAGATTTGGCCACGTTAGTGGCACACTCTTCTTTTTTTTATCCCCCCCGGCATATAATGAGGGGGGATATAGTGATGAGCCAGTCTGTCTGTCCGTCCGTAATCATTTCCTTTTCCAAGCAGAACTCAAAAACAATTCAGTGTATTTGATCGAAACTTTGCAAATCTATTAGTCACATACTGAAGTTGTGCCTTTTGCTATTTAGGAATTTTAGAAATTTATATTTTTTACGTTTCCATGACAACAAGTTGGACTTAGGTTCTATAAGAATGGTGTTCATTTCCGGAGCGTAACTCAAAAACAGTTAAATACTTTCTTACAAAACTTTGCATGTCTACCAGGCACATACTGAACTGGTGCCTTTCTCTTTAGAAATTTTTATTTTTTATGTTTCCATGGTAACAAGTTGGACTTAGGTTCTATAGGGTAGAGTTTGTTTCCGGAGCATAACTCAAAACCAATTCAAAACTTTCTAACAAAACTTTGCATGTCTACCAGGCACATACTGAACTGGTGCCTTTTGCTGTTTAGGAATTTTAATTTTTTATATTTTTTATATTTCCATGGCAACAAGTTGGATTTAAGTTTTAATATAGGGTGGGTTCACTTATGGAGTATAACAAATAAACTGTTAAATATTTCCCCTTGCCAAACATTGCATGTCTATATATAAAACACATACTGAACTGGTGCCATTTGATATTAAGAAGTTTTAGAAATGTTTATTTTAGAATTTCCATTGCAGCTATTTTGACATGAGCTATGAGAAATGTTGGGTCAGCTACCTGGTTTTGAACCATAACGTGTTAAAATGGGCGGGGGATATAGATGACTTCGTTGACTATACCGCTTGTTTAGTTATTGTTTTTTGTAATTTGTCATTTGTTTGCATAAAAAACCCACAGAAACACACTTATTTTACTTTCCATTACATATGGATGCGACCATGGTGGATCTTTTGTGGGTAAACAATGTATGCTTCTTCAAGAACATTCAACTCTTGACTCATTACATACAAAATTGCACATTTACTTGTGGTTACTTTACATTTAGCTGCCAGGGGGATATGTCATCTTTCTGATGACTCTTGTTTACAATTTCCATGACAACAAGTTCCACCTCATTTAAAAAAGGTTAGGGTTTGTTTAGATTTAATTATGTCATAAATTCTGCAACAGGGGCGGTGGATATAGCCACGTTAGTGGCAAACTCTTGTTATGGCAGCAAGATTATACATAATACTGTATTGTAATGATCGTATAATCTTTTTTGTCATCCCATTTGTATATCCTCAGTAACTTGCAAATAAGAACTGAATCACACAAACTAGAACAGAAAATAACTTTTATGAATATAATAACAAAACTTTGAACAAAAAGTCAGATTCATGGACATATTTACTGATATTAGATAATTTCACTCTGCTTCAATCAAAAGGCCCAAACTTCAAATAGTCAATATAGGCATATAGTGTTCTTTACATTTTCATTATATTGCAAATGTTCAACTTGTGTTGAGTCACATAAAATGCCCATTTAGTACAGAGTGAACAATCTCTTGATGAAGCTGAATACACTGGAGCTGCAGCATGCTGTCACAAATGACTGTGGTGGCGTTATTTCTTCCAGGTGGCTCATGTCAATGACGGCATATGTATCTGGCTTTACATGCTTCATTGGCTTTACGTGCTGTACTGCAAATGGTTCTGTTGGATCTCCCAAGTCTATCTCGGGGATGTCCTGCTCCAAGTTCATGGAGGAACCACACAGTGACGAAAGGGCAGGGTTGGGGAGAGGGGCCTGGGTTATGGGCAGGGAATCAACTTCAGTGGTTGAGAGCTTAGAGAGGAAAGAAAGAGAGTGTAAATGGTTTTCAGCATAAGTAATGAGAGAAGATGTGTGAAGTATGGTTATTGTAATATGAGGGTTTTGCTTCATTCCAAACATATTTTGTGAGTTTTTCATAAAATTGCATGTCAAATTCCCCATTTTTTCTCCCTCCTCTGATCAATCATCATGAGCTGAGACTCTTAGCCCATTTTTTTCAATGAAAATGACACATTCTTGGCAGTTTGGTTTTTAAAGTAAGTGTGTTTAATATGTTCTACGTAAATCTAATGAATGGTTCAAAACCTAAGAAAGAGACAAACAACTGTGTATCATCACCGTCGGTTTTAAATCGATGGAAAAACAAAGCAAATTCCCTACATGACCTACTGGGAGAGGGACAGTAAGGTTGGAGAGGGAGGCAGCAATGGTAGGTCGCTGAGATTTTCTAAACTCTTCCCGAGCTGCAGAGGGAAAAGATTCATAAATCTATGTAAAAAGGTATTAAAAAGGGATTGATATAAATCTAGAAGGTGAACAAGATGTATAACTTGAAACAAATATCAGTCAACTTTATTTCCATACATGGGCTTATGCTGCTGCTCGGTGTTATTTACGGCAATGAGGCGAAATGACCTCATAGGACCTTTTATATGATTCGCAATATATATGTTTGGACTGTCTCACGAAAAGCTTGTCAGCAAACTGGCGTTGATAGTCCAATAATTACGGCCGATTAAGAATCCTTGATATATCGAGGATTGTTGATCATAGGCAAAGTCATACACATTAATATGCCGAATACCAGAACCAAATTGAACTAAAAAGACCTAAATATTGTACCTTGGTGGTAAACGCTTGCCACGCTCGTGAACATGGTGCAACGTTAGTGACAAGAGTGAATCAAATCTCAAAATGATAACAGAGACTTGAATTCGCAACAGTGATGCTAAACAAGAATGGCGTCGTTCACGTACAACAGTCACCATGGAGACGTTCTCGCGAGATCACAATGATTTTTGGTGAACTGGCACCCGGTGTGTGTTGCGTGAGGAACGTCATCCAGACTGCTTCTCAGGGAGGGAGTTTAACGCTGCTTAAAAAGACATTATTCCAGTCCCGACGGGAACACATTGTACCCGTGTTTATTCAACTGAGGCCAAGTTATAAACATTACGCCTGGGGCATAGGACTAAGCTGTACTGCATTAGACAACATTTGGGATAAAAGATGAATTAATACGGTCAGATATTGGTGAGATCTTCTTTCAACTGATTTAGGGATATAGATGACTTCGTTGACTATACCGCTTGTTTAGTTATTGTTTTTTTGTCATTTGTCATTTGTTTGCACAATAAAACACCACAGAAATACACTTGTTTTACTTTCCATTTCATATGGATGCGACCATGGTGGATCTTTTGTGGGTAAACAATGTATGTTTCTTCAAGAACATTCAACTCTTGACCCATTACATACAGAATTGCACATTTACTTGCGGTTACTTTACATACAGCTGCCGAGTGGATATGTCATCTTTCTGATGACTCTTGTTGTTTAACGCAGCACGAGTTCAGCACTATTCCAGATATATGACGGTGGTCTGTAAATAATCGAGTCGGAACCAGACAATCCGGTGTTCGACATCCTGAACATCGATCCACGCAATTGGAATTGGACTAATTATTTCCTTTAAGAAATCATGTCCGATAATCTTTCTGCATGACCACCCCAATTATGACGTAGTGTCACGTAAAGAAATTTTGCCCACCAGGTTTACTATATATATTGGATTCTTCGCATTTTACACAGTGCCTATATTGTTCTGTCGAGTGCTTGTCTTGTTATGAAACAAAAGAGTTACGAACATGGAGAAGAGGTTTACGACCTGTCCTGGCAACTATATCTCTAGCGTAGGGGTACGGAACCAGGGGTATTCTTATCAAACTGTGCGAAATATTAATGAATTACAGATACCCTCGTCAGCAAGTGGAAACTGTCCATACACCTGCAATTTTAGCATTCTGTAAAAGTTTACGTAATTTTCTTACACCTACTTCCTTTTCACCACAACTTGCCTATGTAATGTTATACAGTCGGAATGTCAACTGGAACAAAATATGGTTCAAACTGGTGTATCCAGCGCGTGTCAGCTGTTTTTGCCCGAGTCGGTACTTGTTTGTAAGGGAGATAACTCTGATTTTTTTGTCCCAGCAATGTTTACTTCCGTTTTAAAACACGTGTGAACATTGACGGCCGTTTTGCCTAGCTGTGGACATTTAAAGTGTTTATACATCACAACGAAAGCGTTATCACAGATGAGTAAGTAGTTTCCAACCCCATTATACGTATCATATTCAATGTATACTTTAAACACAATATTTCATAAGCTTTATTACCTGTGTACAATGAATAATCGACAATAATTATAAGCAATGTCGGTGTAATTACGTTTATGATCACTGATCCGATCAGCTGATAATAGTAGCCTGCAGTACGTACACGGAGTAGATCACAAATTCATAGATATGTGCGTGTTATCAAACGCACATATACTTGAATAGTACAAAGGGGACTTGTTTGTTGTCCCGGGACAGTCCTTGCTAGTCCTCCTGGTAAAGCTGATTTTCAACCTCACCTTTTTTCTGGTTGCTTCAAATTTATTTTGTATATAGCAATGCTTCAGCTTAGCAGTAATGATGTCTCTCACCAGAGACCCTGCTGTAGCTAAGCAGTCATTATTCCTTTCATCAGAGACCATTACAGCTAGCATCTGCCCTATCACACAGAGACAATGTTGCACTTTCACATATGGTCTGAGCATAAAATCAAGGACAGTGGAGCATTAGATCTACATATTTCCATCTTTAATTAAAATAGAAAATTATTAATGGCGTAGATATTTGTTTATTATTATAACTGCGGACATCATTTGGTTTCAGGTATATAATTTTTCCTTGGAGCAACAAACACTATACATATTTATCAAGTAATATGTCCCTTGAAAATACTGTGAAAGAAAGCCAAGAGAGGTCCAAAAAGAAGAAGAAACAAAAACTATCAGAAAGACATGAGGAATCTGATCAGGTTGTAAAAAATAAAAAGGTTAAGAAAAGGAAAGAGAAATTTTCTTCAGAGAATGATGAAAATAATGCTGTGAGTATGAGTCACTCCGAAACAAAGAAGCATAGGACTAAAAGGCATTCTGAGACAGAGACTGTTGAAGAGAGAAAAGAAGATGTTGTGGTCACAGGAGATGTTAGACATAGTAAAGCTAGGAAAAGAAAAGCCCAATCTGAAAGTCAAAATGGAGTTAAACATGTAAAGCAACACCAAGACGATAGTGGTGGGAAAAGGGAGAGAAAGAGAAGAGAACGAAAGGACAAATTTAAAGACAAAGTGCCAGAATTTCTCAAACTTGTGAAATCTAAAAATCTCAAAGAGGAAGAGCAGCCAGAGCCAGTTGCCAAAACACCTGAAGAAATTGCATTGGAAAAAATGAAGGAGGAGAAAAGGGAGAGAATGAAAAAGAAGAGGCAACAAAAGAAAGCTAACAAGGGAAAGAAAATAGAAAGCACTGTTGCTAAAGATGCTGCCTTGGCATACTTGAGTCAGTGGCACTATCACCGAGGTGTGTGGCGGTTCCAGAAGGTTCGTCAGGTCTGGTTGCTAGGACACATGTATGATACCAACATGGTGAGTTGTGAGTGAGTGGATAGGCTTCACTCAGGGTCTACTTCCACACAAATAGCTAACTTTGACATCACTGGGTTTATGAATTCTACTGACTGGAACCAAAGGTGACAGTCAGAAACATAATGGATAAAATTACACATTGTGTCCTTGTTGTCATGGTTGTAGCCACCTATTGGCTGAATGTACCACAAATGTAGCTGACTCGTATAGTGACTTGGCACAATAATAATTACAAGGTGAATGATTTAAAGACACTGAAGGAAGTTAACATGTAACTATACAACAAGTGACATAAGATTGCACATGCACAGAGCCTGTTTGTTGAGAATAGATATCGAGTCCCCCAACTGAAACGAGTCGACAGTGCAAGAAGATCGTGAAGCATTTGTCTATTGTGTTTTTCAAATGATAAAATACGGAAAGACTAGACATGCATTCAAATTTTATGCGTTTCTGTGTATGAAGTGTTTGGTTTTTTTCAAATCATTTCAATTTTATGAGTATAGGATGCAGTATTTCATGTCCAGTAATACCTGGTGTCATGTCCATGCACATTGATTCTGGATGACATTGAAAATATCAAAAATATGCTCAGGTAATGTTCAATGTGCTTCTAATCATGCCAGTGCCATAGGCGCTAGTTGCCCCCCTGGATTTTTTTATAGAAAACAGTTTCATTTGAATCAAGTTGGGGACAAGTGATACTTGTACAAATATTTGCTCCCCCTGTCAAAAAAAGTTAACTATGGCCTTGCATGCTTGTATTTATTGCCCAAAGTTAGCTAAATTGCATATTTTTCTGAAAAGATTATTGAAATTCAGTTTATTCTGACTCTGTAAGTTTTGATAATATATAACATACAAAAAGTGTTACATAGGCAAAGCAATTGTGAAGGTCCTGTTTAGAATTAGTCTTCAGCAACCCGTGGTTGTTGTAAGAGGCAACTTACAGGATCATTGATCAGGCTCGCTGACTTGGTTTATGCATGTCATTGTATCCCAATGGTGTAGATTGATGTTCATGATTCATGATGTCAATCACTGGATTGTCTGGTCCAGACTTGATTGATTACAGACAACCGTCAATATTGCTGGAATATTGCAAAGTATGGTGTTAAACGTCAAATAAACAAACACATATGCAAAGAACCTGGGCTAAGGTATATGCATGTTTGGGAACAAGATGTTACTGTGGGGAGGGTGGAAACTATATGTGACATTGATGTAAACATAGTTAACAGTTGTTAAAAGAATATTTTTGAAATTGAGTGTGAAAATGAATGTTTTTATCTTGTTTCAGTACAATATGTACTGATAAGGTTAGTAAACTCTTTAGAAAAGAACTTGCAGATTTGATGTTTGACTAATAATTAATTCCCTTCTTTACAATTATCATTCTCTAGGTGTCTGATGAAAACTTTGAGAGGTTGCTGAAGTATCTGGAAGATTTGAGGGGCCACAGCAAAACTGAAACCACAAGACAAGCTGAGACAATATTGGCAGAAGCCGAAAAGGAATCTGAGAAAGATGAAGAGGCAGAGGTAGAGGATGAGGATGGTGAAGTGAAAGCAGTAGAGGAGGGAGAAGAAGAGGAGCATGAGGACAAGGAAGAAGATGCCCCTGAAGATGAGAGCGAAGATGAAGATAGTAATACTGATGACAAAAAGACAAAGAAAAAGAAGAAAAGCAAAGACACCACCAAAGGTACACATGGTATATTTTATCCAGCTTCCTTGGATACTGAGGATCATGACATTTTCAAGCATCCAAAGTATTTCACTGACTTGAGAAGAAAGGTCATGCATTGAAAATTTTAACATGTTGAAAATATCATTTATCTCATTTCTGAGCTATTTGTATATTTTTCAATATCAGCAGTAAGTATAATGTAATTGATTTGGCTGTGTAGTATATGTCCATTTATTGTGATAAATACACCATTTGTCACCAAAGTTTTGTTTTTGAAATGATGTCACCTCTCCTGAATCTTTTATCATTTTTATCATCCAACTTCGCATAGAATATCTCTCGCTCCCAGTCTTTCTGATATTTAATCTTGCTTACAGTTGTTACAGTTCATTTTCAGAGTAAAATTGTGACAATAAGTGCTGTTATTTCCTGGCATAAAGTGTAAACAACCTTTAAAACTTGCAGGCCTATAAATCCCTTCACCCCAATGCAAAAGGAATTCAAACTTTATCTGAGATCAAATTTTCAAATTGCCTAATACTACCTAACATGTTCTTCCCCATCTATACACTGTAATATATCCATGAACCAAAACAGGTGCCTGTCAGCTTATTAAGTAGCTATATTGCCCAACAGTTCTTTCTAGTATCATTACGTAGATCGCTGGGTGTCACTTTTGAAAATCCCCTGTGGGGATTCCTGGTCAGAATATGTGCCAAGGAAGAGCAGTTTAAAATTGGTATCAGGAGGTCAGTCTCAGTCATTAGCTAATCAGTGGCTATTAGGACTTACTCTGACATGGAATCCCCATAGGAACAGGGTTGATGTACCGGTAGGGTCATGAGGATGTTCACCCATGGAAAATAAGTAATCTGATGATTGACTGATTGGTTTCAGTTTTTGTTTTGATGGATGTGAGGGATGTTAAACCACAGAGGAAATGATGAAAGCCAAGTAGTGTTTACAAAGATGTCAGTGTCTTCTTTTCCACAGACCTTACTATGAAACTAGTTTACTGAAGCAGACTGCCCGACATGGCTTTCTCCACAGTTAAAATTACAATACAATTTTGTGCTTTTCAGATGTGACATCATCATTGAGGTATCAGAGAGCAAGGCAGATTCTCCAGATTTTAACATAACAACATCTGTAACTATGACATTAAAATTGTTCAGTTGTTAAAATTGTTCAGTGAAATTCCTTTGTTCTGAGGTTACTTGTGTAGCAGGGCTTCTGACAGATGGCATCCTTTCCTTGTCACATTGCTGAAGGGGTTAACTTCTGGTCATGTGGACAAGGTGTGTTTCCTTGGATCAGAAGGGTTAGTTTGAATACCATCACTAGGCTTCCAAAATTATATGTGGAAAATAAGTCTCAGCTCCCAAGTAAGAAGCCCATGATGTGCCTTCTGTTTATGCGTATAGCAGGGAGAGCAGTTGTCCCAAAGATCACATCCTTACTTTTTGTCAGCTTGCTGACAGGGCTAACCTCTCTGGTCATGTGGACAAGGCATCAAGCCCCAGATAAGAAGGTCCGTTTTTTTGCCATGGCAATTTTATGGCTGATACACAGTAGAAGAAAAACACCACCAACCACCTCGAACTCTTACTTTTGTTTTAGTGGGAGTCTATAAAATATGACCCTTTATCCAGTGTGTCTTACAAGAGCTGTTGAGTATTGAGTCATAAGGCTCTGTAGCTCACCTGAAGTTAGATCTGCGAGTGAATAAGTATGTATGCAGTTGGTTTTAAGCTACTTTGAACAGAGTTTCAGGTATTTCATGTGTGTTGAGTCAATGATGGACAAAAGCCCATGATGGATCAGTCAATCGGAAAGATCCCACAAGGGTAAACATGAACATGCAAAGGAAATAACAGAAGTTTTTACAAACAGATCCTCACAGCATGTTCATTTAAGTGCATACTTTTACATGCATAACTGTAGGCTATAATTACATATTCATCATGATTGTGGTGGAAGCTAGTGCAAGCTGTGTCAAATATCAGATACACAGCAAAATATGTCATGTGTTACTGGGCATGGCACATATTGTATATGCCATTTCACATGATGCCTCACCTGGCTGGCAATACCTGACCATTAGAATTGAGTTGAAATCATGTCAAGGGTCTTCTTGACTCCTAAGTGAGCCATGAGAAACAAGCATTATCTCATAAGCAGATCCTTGGGCCACTGCTTGAACAGAGACCTTATCCTTATGTACCGCAGCGGAAGAATACTGCCTGTAAAACATCTCACCTCTCGCACTCTTCTCTACCACCATCTGTCGCACCGATTCCAAGAATACATCTAATGTTTTCGTAGTTCCATAAACTCAATTTTAGGGGTGGTCGGATAGCCTGATGGTTAAAGCGTTTGCTCGTCACTTTGAAGATCCGGTTCGATTCTCGATGTGGATATAATGTGTCAAGCCCATTTCTGGTGTCCCCTGCCATAATATTGCTCATGATGTCAATCACTAGATTGTTTGGTCCAGACACTATAATTTGCAGATCGTCATATAGCTGGAAAATTGCTGAGTGCGGCATTAAACAAAAAAACCCCACATATTGTTCAGAACGTAGGCTCCAACATCACAATTCGGTTGTAATAAGGTGTATTATCAGTGAGTGACTACAGTTTCAAGCCGCCCTTTAGCAATATTCCAGTCGTTTCACGAATGGGAACTCCAAGGATGGGCTTCTCAAACAGTACCCACATACCTGCAGAATCGAACCTCGGTTTTTATGTGGGGAGCATTAACCACATGATTTCTCCACCTCATTATGATAATTATAGGTGATGTAAACAATAACAACAAATAGATTCGTACTAATAATTTTTGCATTTCCGAGCGATCAGTATCTCTGCAAAAGGACTAAATACACTACAGGTAAGGTACACTACAGGGACAGCAAAGCCATGCCATACATATTAACTCGACATTTTCAATGTTAAGCATCGTATTACATTATCAACTATTGGCAGTTGGAAAAACTAGCATAAAATCTGTAAATACCATCAGAAAAAAACATGTATAACCATGTCCTCCACATGAACTGTTGTTTATCGACATTACGATACGACACTCACATTGTGGAATCAAGTATCGCGGTACACCCATATAATTGCAACCCTCTCATACTGTTGAATAAATGCTATAAGGCATTTCAATGACCATGGGAAATCTATTGTACGATTCCGACTATGTCATGAGCATGTGTTTATGAATCAATATGAGCTAGTGAGGGTACCGTGCATGTGTTTCCTGCCCAACCGATGGCATCCATCACAAATACATGCAAAAGCAAGTCAATTGTTCATTTTTGCTGGTGATGCGTCGAAGCAAAGACGTATATACATCCGTGGTCGAAGTAGGGATGACCTCTATAAAACTGTTTGAAAGCTTTGCCGGGGCCTTGAATGTTGTAACCTTGATAAAAAAAAGCGTGTGCACCGCTAACTCGTTGTCAACAGAAATTTTCTAAACCTTTTCATGCTTTTAATCAAGGTGCTCACGTGATTTGATGCACTTCGCGATGTAAGACTCGTTTTATCACAATATAGATCTTGATTATCAATCAGATCGTCTTGACTGGGCGCCACCGTTTTGTTTGAAGCAAATGCAAGTTATACGAGAGGTTGAATCTGATTGGTCAATAGGAGAGGCATAGAAAGGACATAGCTCGTAATAGCCACTGGTGGCGCTACGATCGAGCCCAGGAATTCCAGCCTAGTTCGGCAAGGGTGGAAACTGGACTTTTAAAGTCAGGTAACTCACTTGCCTCGGGAAGATGCATGCCCTCGGCGCGTAGACGGGATTTTTTTCAGCAATCCGTGGCATTGTTTCAGAATATATATTTTTTCATTGAACTTTATTTAAAACACAGTTACTTTTTTCCGTTAGCATAGACATTTCCAGTTGTTTATCTTCTTTAATATGTATATCATGAGGACTACTTGTACTAAGGTAAATTAGCATCATAGTACAAGAGTTTGTCACGTTCTGGCACTTACTATTAGTTTTGTCAACTTTATCTTGTCGGTAGGGTGTTTGTCTGCCGTGTGATTAAATTATATCTCTAAACGTCCCTCCAGTGCACTTTTACAGTGAAAGCACTCGTATAGCTGAACATCCATATGATAAAAAAGGCAGAAAGTACAAATCAGTGATTACAGTGCTGCTCCACGTTAGCTGGTATACATGCCCAGTGGAGTAAACAGCTCATTTTGCGCACAGTTGTTATGTTGCTAATATCTCCCTGACTATTCAGAATAAATGGTTGATTTTTTTAAACATGACTTGGAAATTATATGACTATGTTAACAACCTAATTGAAAGTTTCATAAGTTTATCTTTTAGATGCCTGTTTCACAAAAATAGGCATGTTTCATGCCTTTCGCCATATAAGACGAGAATTCATCATAACATATTATTGTCACCTTAAGTTTAGATGTATATGAAGTTACGCATCTTGCAGATATCCATATTAATAGTGTGTTCCCATCATGTTATGTTCATACCATGTGCTTTGAAAATGCTCCACATCAACAATACAGCTCCGCATCTTTTCATGCTGTGAGCTTCCTATTGGGTGAACTGGTACCCATGGTGATGCTCACTTCTTGCCTAAATATCCTATCCCCCAAAACGACATAGAAGTAAAGCAACCCTCATCCCTAATTCACTCTCTAACTGTAACCACGGTTATATAATTAACTACACAGTAGTTAGAAAATGTTGGATAGTAAAAGTTTTAATCATTACAGATTTCTGTGGCATATTCTTAAATGTTATTCTAAGGGAACTAGTAATTAGTTATACATAACATGGCCAGAACAGATTGATTAATTATATGTTCCTGCACTTACCTTGTTATGTGCAACGTTTCCTCAAAATGAAGAGGACAAGAATAAAACAACGTTTCTTCGTTGACAGCCTTCCAGATTCATAATGCACATCACAAATAGGAAAAAACGTTCATCGTATCGTGTAAATAGTAAAAATATCAGTGTCCGGGCTTATGTTCTCGATTTTAACTAACTTCTTACCAGCTTATTGGCATCAAATCGACATACTCCGTTTCAGTTACTGAAAAAACGTTACTTCTGCTCGATTCATGTCGTCTGGAATTAACGCGCACTGAAAACTAGTGCAACGGAAATGAGCCCTGATTGGTAGACCTCGTAACCATGACATCACGTGACAATGCTGGTGAACACCTGGTGAAATCTGCAAGGTTTTAAACCTGATTTGACATGTGTTTTTAAATAGTCTCAAACGACGTAGCTAACTTGAACAAGGGGACGATGTTCAGCGACCTTTCCCAGGTTAGTGGGTGAGTTGGGTTTAACGCCAAGTCAGCAACCCTGACCACCCAGTCCTGTCTTGTCGCCTACAGCATGTATCTTTATGTAACTTTATTACAAATGCCATTCCACAGACATCCCATCATATTCACCATGGTCATACTGTGTCCAGGGCGGGCGGGTAGCCTAGTGGGTAAAGCGTTCGCTCGTCACGCCGAAGACATTAGTTCGATTCCTGACATGGGGACAATGCGTGAAGCCCATTTCTAGTGTCCCCCGCCGTGATATTGCTGGAATATTGTTAAAAGCGGCGTAAAACCATACTCACTTATACTTACTTACATAGTGTAACTGATGCTGTACATGTTCATGGCTAACATCTGGTGTCTTTTGGATTATTTGAATCAAACGTATTGACTAGCCCGAACCTAGCACTTCAAAAATATCGGCAAAATCCTCCGCCCCTTTAAACACAAATAATGATAATTACCTAATTATACTAAAAATGGTTAATTTAATCCTAATCTTGTTAGTACAACTGAATTAATAATTGATCCTGCCAATCTCTGCCAACCGCTATAAACAAAGATCTGAGGACATCCCATAACGCACTGAAGATAAGATAAGATAAGATCGGTGAGCTTTTTTGACAATTCATCGTAATGACTGAAAGGTCAAAACCTCAACATCGCTCTCGTAATATTCCAGCTTTCCAACTAAGAGATTAAAAACTCAAAATCTCAACCCCCGATTCGGCTTTCTAAATTTGATTTGTTTGGAGTAGGAATGTGCAGATCTAGTATAATGGGTTGGTTATCTGTCATGAATGAAATCACTTGAGACAGAAATAGATCAGGTTCGATTCCCACATAGGTAAAATGTGTGAAGCAGACCGGATGGCG